CACCGCCGTGAGTCGCCCTAGGGCTGAGAACGGCGGTCAACAAATGCAGTAAATAAATAAATAAAAATAAATAAGATATTAGGCTTATGGAATTTATCAAAAGAACTTCACAGCAAAGTGACTTACAAAGTAATGGGTCAGAAAGGGGAGATCTGCAAAATATACCCTTTCTCTGCCAAGAAATGTTTTCTGTACCAAAACTAGAACTTGCATACCAAACAGTTTACACACACATGTATTTCTATTTCCCTGTGAGTTTTCATGAAAGCTTAACAAGCTTTCAGGCAGAGTGAAGTAGCAGCCCCACGACATGGTAAAGCTGGTTGTCATTGACCAGCAGCCAATTATTAGCTATCTTGTTATTATTGTCTTTTTATAGCAATGGATAGAGACAGATGATCCTGAGATTTCTCACCTTGTGTAATAAAAATGACTTGCTTTGGGAATTACGCACCTCAACTTGTGCTATGAAGGGAAATAACCACCGGGAACTCCCTTTTTGATAGCAAGGCCCGTTATCTGATTAATTCCAGTGCCTACTGGAATGAGGTGGGAAGGGGTTTCTTCTGAGAGAAGATTTTTCAAAGTTTTTCTCTCTACAGAACAGTTCAGGGTTCTGCCAAAGAGGGTATGCTTGGCTAGAACTTACCTGTCCGAACGCATCTCCCTCTATGATCCAACTTGGAGGTTAAGTTCTTCTGGGGAGGCCCTGCTCTCAGCCCTGCCTCCTTCACAGGTGTGACTGGTGGGGACAAGAGACAGGGCCGTCTCAGTGGTGGCCTCTCGGCCATAGAACTCCCTCCCCAGCGAAAACAGAGCAGACCCCTCCCTCCTGACCTTCGAGAAGAAAGCAAAAACCTGGTTATGGGACCAAGCTTTTGCTTAGCAAGTTAGTGCAATGAGAGTATATGGAATTGTGGAATGGCCTTGGATTTGACTCTGGATGACATGATATTAATTATTTTTTTAATATAGCTGCTGATTTTCATTTTTAATGTATATGTCTATTTTTTACTGTATCTATGCATGTGCATGACATCAAATCGCTGCCTTTTTGTAAGGCTGCTTTGAGTCCCCCTTTTGGAGTGAGAAGAGCAGGATATAAGTGTACTAAATAAATAAATAGAGCCATGGGTGCCAAACCACACCAGTCCATTTCTGAACTTTGTATCCTACTCAAGTTATTTTAAGCTGATCAAGGCTCTATGTCCTTCACACTTGAAAGAGTTCGAGTGGTAATTACTTAGGACTAGAGGACGCACTTCCCCACTTAGTGTAATTAATCTCCCCCACATTCTGCTACATAGTAGTCAGAGCCTTTGTAGTGGACATGAACAAAACTGTGCTGTAACTCTTTGTAATCTTTTAATATTAAATCCTGATTATGATATGCAACAGCTAAACCGTAGCTCAATTCAGGCTGCAGAACTCACAGCTTCCTAATATGGCTTAAAGGAGATCAGACCATATCGATCTCTCTGCCAAAGGAGCTGCTCTAACTCTAACCCTGCTATCTAACAAAATTTAATTTTGACAGATGCTCTGTGAGGAGCTAATTCCAAAGTAAAGGGACACTCTGAAAAAGGATAGACTGCATTTGCAGTTTTTATTGGTTGTTATTATGAGAGTAACCTTCCCAAGACTGAGGGTGCATCTACACTGTAGAAATAATGCAGTCTGACGCCATTTTAACTGCCATGGCTGAATGCTATGGAATACTGGGATCTGTACTTTAGTGGGGCACCAGTTGTTTTTGGAAGAAGGCTGCACAAGAGTGCTAGTGTCATGGTTTTCCATGTAAAACTACAACACCCAGGAATCCATAGTGTTGAATCATGGCAGTTAAAGGGGTGTCAAACAGCGTTAATTGTAGTGTAAACACACTCCAAATTGTACAAAATTATGGGAAATATGTACTGCAGGACAATATATTGTGGAAACCCCTAGTTTCTTATTTGTAATTGTGTCCTGCGGTCACCCTGTGTTAAAGTGCAACAGTGAACAAGAAAGAATACTGGTGTCTTGGTCGTGGCGATACCGTTCTTGAATTTTAACTTCCAAATAGTCCCAGCCAACAGTCAATGACAAAGAATGAAGGGAACTCTCATCCAATAATATATGGAGTCCTAGATGTTGCCCTTCCTAGGCCACTACAAAGTTAAATTCGGTACCACATAAACCCCAGTCCTTTATTTATGGTGCACCTATAGTTTCTATTTCCTATAAAGAACTGAATACAATGAAAGGAATTCTGTCTTGTCCTCTTCATAAACTTCCCAGGAACCACCGCTTATAAAAAGGAACAGCTCCATAAAGTTGCTATAACTTGGCTAAGGCTGTATAATACCAATATAGAGATAATTAAATACAGCTAACAATACATTTCTTATAACTTAAATTGTATACTTCTAAATTCTATCATTCATTGGTAGAGCCCCCAGTGGTGCAACGGGTTAAACCCTAGTGCCATCAGGACTGCTGACCAAAAGGTTGGCGGTTCGAATCCGGGGAGCATGGTGAGCTCCCGTCTATCAGCTCCAGCTTTATTTTTTAAAAAAAATAAAGCCTGCAGTAAACTATCTGAAATGAAAGGTGTCAAGCTCTTTCCCCAGTCCTTCTAAAATATAACTAAAGAAGAGGTTAGGACCAATTACCTACCCCAGTAGTGCAATGGGTTAAACACTTGTGCCAGCAGGACTGCTGACTAAAAGGTTGGTGGTTCACATCCGAGGAGTGGGGTGATTTCCCGTCTGTCAGCTCCAGCTTCTCATCTGGGGACATGAGAGAAGCCTGCCACAGGATGGCAACACATCCAGGTGTCCCCTGGGCAACATCCTTGCAGACGGCCAATTCTCACACACCAGAAGCAACTTGCAGTTTCTCAAGTCGCTCCTGACACGAAAAAAAGGTGCAACTGAAGAGACAAAGAAAAAGGCCATGCAAGCAATTCAACACAAATTAGGGGTGTCAGCATGGCTGTTTGCAACTAATTTCCTGCACGAAAACATGCATATGAATTCAATTATTGTTGAATTATTGTTATTCAGCAAAGTCAGAGGGAATGTTTCCTGGACTGGGATCAATTCATCCAAATAGATTGGGCTTAGTGTCAGGACCCATCCAATTCCTGGATGCACAAGTCCCATTAAAGTAAATATTTTTATTTATTTATTTATTTATTTATTTTACTTTACTTCTATACCGCTGTTCTCAGCCCGGAGGCGACTCACAGCGGTTCACAAGACACAAGACACAGTAAAATTCAATGCACCAATATAAAAACAGTTAATAACCTAATCTAATACACAGTTAGTACACAATTACTATCATCACCATTCACTAACGTCTCATCACTAAAACATGATCCAGATTCGTCATCCATTGTTCCATTCCTATGTCGTTACCAGTCATTGCACTAATTATTCAAACGCCTGCACAAATAAACAGGTCTTTACTTTTTTGCGGAATACCATTAGAGATGGTGCTAATCTGATGTCTATGGGAAGGGCGTTCCACAGCCGGGGGGCCACCACCGAGAAGGCCCTATCTCTCGTCCCCGCCAGCCGTGCTTGTGAAGCAGGCGGGATCGAGAGCAGAGCCTCCCCGGAAGATCTCAAAGTCCTAGTGGGTTCATAGGCCGAGATGGGGTCGGATAGGTAGCTTGGGCCGGAACCGTTTAGGGCTTTAAAGGTCAACACCAGCACTTTGAATTGAGCCCGGTAGCAAATCGGTAGCCAGTGGAGTTGGCGCAACAGGGGGGTTGTATGCTCCCTGCGTTCCGCTCCTGTTAGAATCATGGCTGCCGAGCGTTGGACTAGTTGAAGCTTCCGAGCTGTCTTCAAAGGCAACCCCACGTAGAGAGCGTTGCAGTAATCTAGGCGGGATGTAACCAGAGCGTGGACTACCGTGGCCAAGTCAGACTTCCCAAATATAATTTTCATTGGCTACCCCTAGACTGTGGCATGATATGCCAGAAGAGCTTCAACAGCTAAAAGAGCTATTAGAATTCAAGACACAATTGAAGACCCATCTCTCCCATCAGGTCAACCCAGTCAACTTTGAACCATGTTTTGGATTTGCATTCTATTGCTGATGTGTTGCTATTGAATTTTCCAGGTTGTATGGCTATATACCAGAAGTATTCTCTCCTGACGTTTCACCCACACCTACGGCAGGCATCCTCAGAGGTTGTGAGGTGTGTTGGATACTAGGCAAGTGGGGTTTATATATCTGGGATATCCAAGGTGGGGAAAAAAGTTTTTGTCTGTTTGAGGCAAGTACAAATATTGCAGTTGGCCACTTTGATTACCACTTAATTGATTTGCAGCTTCAAAGCCTAGGTGCCTCCTGCCTGGGAGGTGTTAGCTGGTCCTGATTGTTTCATGTCTAGACTCCCCCTGTTTTTGAGTGTTGCTCTTTATTTACTGTCCTGAGTTTTTTAAATACTGGTAGCCAGATTTTGTTCATTTTCATTGTTTCTTCCTTTCTATTGAAATTGTCCACATTATTGTGGAGTTTAATGGCTTATCTGTGTAGTCTGTCATAGTAGTTGTAAGAGTGGTCCAGCATTTATGTGTTATCAAATAATATGCTGTGTTCAAGTTGGTTCATCAGGTGCCCTGCTATGGCTGACTTCTCAGGCTGAATTCGTCTGTAGTGCCTTTCATGTTCCTTCATTCGTATTTGGGTGCTGTGTTTGGTGGACCCTATGTAGACTTGTCCATAGCTCTAAAACGTTAAAATCAGAACAGTAAATAAAGAACAACATTAAGAAAAAACAGGGGAATTCCAGACAAGAATCAATCAGGGCCAACTAACACTTCCCAACAAAGGATCCCCCAGGCAGCAATCAGTCAGGCTTTGAAGCTGCAAGGTCATTCAATGCTAATCAAGCTGGCCAATTACAACATTCATACTTGCCTCAAGCAGACAAGAGTTCTTTCTCCCACCCTGGACATCATTCCACAGATATATAAACCCCACTTGCCTAGTTTCCAACAGACTTCACAAAATGTCAAGAGACAATGTTTCTGGAACATGGCCATACAGCCCGGAAAACTCACACCAACCCAGTGATTCTGGCAATGACAGCTTTCTGACAACATATTGCTGATGTATTGTTGGAGGCTGCTGTATTGTAGATGCCTATATTGCTGCTCTATTTGGCTCTTTGTACCATGTGTTTTGGTGTATGTGTTTTCTGGTTGTTTGTATTTCATGTTGATATGTGTTCACTGTGTGGTCTCTCCTAATAGCTCTAAACGGGGTATGATAATATTATAATGGTATCATGTAATAAAATTTTATATATATACACCACCCTATATCACCAAAGGAACTCAGGGTGGTAACAGTGAATAGGAATAATAATAATTATTATTATATAATGACGTAGTGAAACGACGTTCCTTTTACAAAAATGGCAAAATAAAAGCTTACTTTTTTGGAAGATTGTTCAACTGAAGTTTAACCTCACTCCTATTACTATTTTCACAAAGGAAACCCCAATGGGCTCAGTTTGCCATCCTTCCAGGAACAGCGTTTGAGATTGGTCTTCTTCTTTTGGGTTCCTTAGGATTAAAATCCTTACTTTCATTGTGTTGGAGGAGTTTACTGCTGATAGCACCGCGTAGGCCGCCAAACATCGTAAAATGACTAAAGCGGCATCCTGGGAGTTGTAGTTTAGTGAGGCGCCAGGACTCTTGGGCAGAAGAGCCTTTGGTTTTGTTTTTTTTTCTGTCGTGTCAGGAGCGACTTGAGTTGCTCCTGTTTTGAGAGAATTAGCCGTCTGCAAGGACGTTGCCCAGGGGACGCCCAGATGATTTGATGTTTTTATCATCCTTGTGGGAGGCTTCTCTCATGTCCCTGTATGACGAGCTGGAGCTGAAAGAGGGAGCTCAGCCTTGGTAAAACCACAATTCCCACGACTCCATAGCATTGAGCCATGGCAGGGAATGCGGTGCCAAAACTCTATTTAATTCCTCAGTGAAGGGGCACCATGGCTTGTGTTGGGCAAGGGGAACTCTCCGCGGTGTGAAAGAGAACGTAATCAAAGTCAGCGAATGAGGGTATTAAATAGGTTCTTGTGGGTTTTTTCGGGCTATGTGGCCATGTTCTAGAGGCATTTCTCCTGACGTTTCGCCTGCATCTATGGCAAGCATCCTCAGAGGTAGTGAGGTCTGTATTAAAGTTCCTCACAGAGCGGCCTAGAGCGAGCGCCACCCCCGCGAAATGAATGGTTTCGTCCCAGATGAGCAGAAGGAGGGCCGCCCTGCTCTCTTCCCCCTCCCTCGAATGGTACGTCCCCGCGCCCGCAGCGCCTGAAACGCGTCGCGAGCCGCTTCCAGAAACGTCGGCTTGGCGTCAATGAATTCTGCCCCTCGTGCGTGCCCGGAAGCGCTTCCCTCAGCTGCCCCGGAAGGGGAAGGCGAGGAGGAGCCGGGCTGCGTGGTGTGTCAGCGAGGGGCGGCTCGGCCCTGCTGGCGGACGGAGCAATAGCGACAGCCGGGAAAAGGGAGCGAGGGAAGGAGGGAGAGAGGGAGGGAAGGAGGGAGGGGGGCAGTAGGAGTAGTGGCGGCGGCGGCGGCGGGAGGCGGGGCCGTGGGAGGGGAGAAGGAGGCGAAGGCGAGAGCAGCGACGACGACGACCGCGAGGGCGCCTGCCGGGGTTTGGGGTCGGGAGGGTCAAAGCCCGGCGTTGGTGGAGGGGCGGGGCGGGAGCGACAGGAACGAGGCTGGAGGAAGAAGATGCTCCTCTTCGTGGAGGTGAGTGAGGGAGGGAATGTGTTTGTGAGCGGTGGGGGGGGGGCTGTTGGGGGCAATGGAGGTGCGCGAGGAAGGAGAGCGGTTGGGCCACGTGATCCCTCAGGCGGCGCGTGCCCGCCGGCCCTCCCTCGTGCTAGGTGCCCCGCGTGCGCCTGTGTGGCGGGGAATGGGGGGGGAGGCATTGACACAGCAAAATTCCTTGTTCCACGCGCGAGGGGAGGATTGCTTGGGGCGCCTTGGGTGGGTGAAGAAGAGGCGGTTCCCTCAGTGCGAGGCCGGTCACGAGGCAGCCTGCCCGGCAAGGGGTTTTCCTCTTGGAGTCTTTCATATGGTGAGTGGAGAAGCGTGGGCCTTGGGAGTTCATTCTTTCCGTGGCCTCTCTGTATGTGGGTAGGTGGGGGGAGGTATGAGTGGGTGTGCATGGCTCCTTCTGCTGCTCAAGGACAAGACGCAGAAAGGGAAGCAGGCCTCATGCGATGGCTGGGACTCGTGTACGAGTCGAAAGAGAAAGCATGGCTCGCCTGGCGTGGGACTGAGCATGGCAGGCCTGGGCGGCGTGATTAAGCGGGATGCGATTAACCAAGCCCCCCTTTCACACACACCCGAGAAGAAATAGGTCTCCATTGGAGGGTTGGTTTAGTAAAGTTTGTTCTGCTGGAAGGGAGGGAAGAGCCATGGTGACGGAGGCCTTGAAAGACACCGCAGTGACCTTTTGTCGAAGTTGTACTAGGAGAGGAACATGGACGGACACGTGTGAAGGTTACACACGATCGGAGGAAGGGGAAGGACAATTTCCCCACTGCTCTCTTCTACGCCTCCCTTTTAGAAAAAAAACAACAATCTGAGATATTTGTCCTCCCCCCTCCTTTTCTTTCACCTACAGGCACATGGCACCAGGGCAAGTTAGTCAGCTGACCGCCTGCTTTTCTTTGGCCTAGCTAATGCTTTGAGTAGATTCTAGATTGTATTGTTCTTACTGTAGAAATGTCAAACGAGTAAAGCTGCAACTTGGCAGTGGCTTGACTGTGCCCAGGAACAAAGCACACTTTCAATGGAGAAAGGGAGTAGTTTGTAGGTTTCAGGTGAAGTAGCACCAGATGATTTGGATTATTATTTTTTTGGTCCAGTTTGGAGATAATTGTAATAACTATTTGTTTTATCTGAACAGTGAAGTTTTCATTGTTTTCCGTTTACTTGTGTGAAACACTTAGGGGTCTGATTCTGTGATATAACATATGGACTAGTTTTTGTTGTGTACTGGCTCAAAACGGAAAATGATGTTTAAAAATGATATTTCAGCATGTTTCAGAAAAAGCAGTATTTTTTAGAGAATCAGAATCTTATGCTATTTACATTGAAATAAGTTTCACTGAACACATTGTGACTTAAGGGAAAGGTAAGGGTTTTTCCCTGACATTAAGTCCAGTCGTGTCCAATTCTGGGGGTTGGTGCTCATCTCCATTTCTAAGCAAAAGAACCGGCGTTGTCCATAGATACCTCCAAGGTCATGTGACCGACATGACTGCATGGAGCACCGTTACCTTCCCACTGGAGTGGTACCTGTTGATCTACTCACATTTGCATGTTTACGAACTGCTAAGTTGGCAGAGGCTGGAGCTGACAGCAGAAGCTCACGTCACTCCTTGGATTCAAACCAGCGATCTTTCAGTCAACAAGTTTAGCAGCTCAGTAGTTTGACCCACTGTAACTGTGACTTACAGTTATGCATATGTTCTTGGACTAGATCAGTGTTTCTCAACCTTCCTAATGCCACAACTCCTTAATACAATTCCTCATGTTGTGGTGACCCCCAACTATAAAATTATTTTTGTTGCTACTTCATAATTGTAATTTGCTACTTTTATGAATTGTAATGTAAATATTTGAAATGCAGGATGTATTTTCATTCACTGTACCAAATTTGGCACAAATACTCAATACGCCTAAATTTGAATACTGGTGGGGTTGGGGTGATTGATTATGTCATTTAGGAGTTGTAGTTACTGGGGTTTATAGTCAATCTACAATCAAAGAGCATTCTGAACTCCACCAATGATGGAATTGAACCAAACTTAGCACACAGAACTCCCACAACCAACAAAAATACTGGAAAGATTTGGTGGGCATTGACCTTGAGTTTTGGAGTTGTAGTTCACCTACATCCAGAGAGCGCTGTGGTCTCAAACAATGATGAATCTGGACCAAACTTGGCACGAATATGCCCAAGTGTGAACACTGGTGGATTATGGGGAAAATAGATTTGACGTTTGGGAGTTATGATTTCTGGGATTTATAGTTCACCTACAATTAAAGAGCATTCTGAACCCCAACAATGATAGAATTGGGACAAATTTCCCACACAGAACCCCCACAACCAACATAAAAGACTGTGTTTTCAGATGGTATTTGGTGACCCCTTTAACACCCCCTCGTGACCCCCTTGGTTCTCGACTCTCAGGTTGAGAAACACTGGGCTAGATGCTTGCTTTGCAAAATCATTGGCTTTTTGACAAAATTATAGAGTCAGAGCTTAGCTGAATACTGTATAATTCCAACAGGTCTTAATAGCACAACTCATTTTGCTATCATTATGCAGAAAAGTTAAAGTAATGCCATACACAGCTTTTGAGTAAAATGTTTTCAGTTTTGCTATGCACAGTGCATGTGACATGCTAGAAAGTTTGTGAAATTCACAGTACAGCTCTGTGTAGCAATTCAAAAATAAATCTTAATGACCTAAATGGGCTTACTTAGGTCCCACCCATGGGTTAAACATGAATAAATAATAATAATAATACTTCTAGGTCCTTGGATATATGGTTTCATTCTTAATTTGGTGACTGGTCTTTAGTAGTGCTTTGAAAATTAAGGTCTAATTTAAAAAGTTATGATCTGAAATGAATCAGCATATAGAGCAGTATCCATTAATAGCAACATACCTGTATTCTTGTTAAGATAAGGCTATACTATTATAAAATGGAAATGAGATTAGTGGGAAATATTCGCCTCTGCTGTTTTAATTTCTCCTATTGGAAAAAAATCTTTACTGGTTTGTCGTGACGTCATTTATTACTGTTATTTTTTTTCTTAAGTATGCAAAATAGAAGCTTAATACCTCTATAAAAGAACAGGAAGTAAATGTTCTTGAATCACACAAAAATTAGACTAGTCCGGCCTGAGAATAATTTCTGATCTGCAGAATGTAGCTGTTAGAAATGAGTTCCAATTCCATGTTATAGGTACTATCCTTGTGACATCTAAGTCAATAAAGTGATTTTAAGGGACTCATTGAAGTTCTCAGTGTATTTGCTTGCAAGTAAGTTTTTGCAGGTGAATATATATATATATTAGCTGTCCCCTGCCATGCGTTGCTGTGGCCCAGTCTGGTGATCTGGAAAATAAAGTAATGTGAAAGTGTTGGTTTCTAATATATGTAATTTCTTTATGCTTTGTGGGTAAACAGTATTTGATTACGTTTTCTTGCCCTGGTGAAGGGAGTTGGACTGGATAGCCTTAAGTATTTTCTATTGGTCATAGGGGTTCTGTGTGGGAAGTCTGCCCCAATTCTATCGTTTGTGGGGTTCAGAATGCTCTTTGATTGTAGGTGAACTATAAATCCCAGTAACTACAACTCCCAAATGACAAGGTCTATTTCCCCCAAACTCCATCTGTCTTCCTAGTTGGGCATATGGAATATTCATGCCAAATTTGGTCCAGATTCATTATTGTTTGAGTCCATAGTGCTCTCTGGATGTAGGTGTACTACAACTCCCAAACTCAACATCAATGCCCACCAAACCCTTCTAATATTTTCTGTTGGTCATTGGAGTCCTGTGTACCACGTTTGGTTTAATTCCCTCTGCCCTGAGTCCTTTGGGGAAATAGAGCGGAATATAAATAAAGTTTTATTATATTATTATTATTATCATTGGTGAAGTTCAGAATGCTTTTTGATTGTAGATGAACTATAAATCCCAGCAATGACAAACTCGTTTTTTTTTAGTGATGGGCTAGGAGGTGTCTTGTGGCCAAATTTGGTGGAATTTCGTCCAATGGTTTTTGAGTTATATTAATCCCACAAATGAACGTTACATTTTTATTTATATAGATATATTCATAATTACAGTCTTAGAAATTTTGGATGTTTATTGCTCAGCTAATGTTATTTTTCTTTGCTTTTCCAATGTGTAAGTCTTGGTAGTGACTTCTCAAATCTACTGAGATTCCCTTATATTGACTCTAGCTTTCTTGTGTTAATTTTCTAACAAAACAGGAATGGGAAACCAAGTTCAGGCTTAGGCTTGTTGGGGAAATGATAGATGAGGAATTCAAATTCAGGTGTAAAAGAAAGTTTTTGTTTTCCATTAGCTGCAGAATCACTCCTCTAGACCCCTCCTATCCAGTGAAGGGAATAATTAATTATAGGTCAAAGCTTCCAAGATTTTCTAGCACAGTACTCARCCTGGGGTCCTCAGATGTTTTTGGCCTACAACTCCCAGAAATCCCAGTCAGTTTACCAGCTGTTRGGATTTCTGGGAGTTGAAGGCCAARRACATCTGGGGACCCCCGGTTGAGAACCACTGGTCAAACAGCTCCATGTGAATTCTTACTTTGGCCCAGCTKTCTTACCACCATGCTGCTTTCTAGTCTAGCTTGACCTTGGATTCAAGACGTGCATGTCATCACTCAATGAGAAGTGGTTGTAAAGTCTGGAAAAAGCAGCAGTATCCCAAGCAAACCATTGGGCCAGTGGGGTTTTGGGTTTGTCTCATAGGCTAGTAGCGATATGATTTTATTGCTTTTATTGCTTTTATGGTTGTTTTTGCAGATAATAATAATTGTTTTCTGTTAATTGTTATTGCTAAAATTGCTGTTTGTTAACTGTTGTTATTGTCCTTTGCTGTTATGTAATGCGGGCATCGAATTGTGCCTTGCTTTTGTAAGCTTCCCTGAGTCCCCCCCGGGGTGAGAAGGGCGGGGTAGAAGCAACCGAAATAAAT